AATTAAGCGTTTTAATGATTTGGCCAATTAATCGAAAAAATAATCAACAGATTAATTGATTATTAAAATAATCGTTAGTTGCAGCCCTAAAACACACTCATTTAAAACAGCTTAAAAATATTTTTGTTCTCAACAACTTGAACTACTGAACACAAGACACACACTCAGCAGTTACTCTCAAAATAAATATAAGTTTGAGACTTCACAGGAAAATTTTAAAAGCAGCAGCAAACGCATTCTTCAAGACAAACTTAAGAAGGAAAATTACTGGGGGGGGGGGTTGTGTACTTTAAAAAAAAAACATGGCTACTCAAGTCAGACTAGTTTTCAAGATGATTTCATTTTGGGAGTCGAGCAGTTTGTTTATTTTATATTCTTTAAAGGAAGTTTTGTTTGTGTTAAGACAGGGGGCTCAGGAATTTTGAATGTTGACAATGCCTGCTGAAAGATGAGGCTGAGCATTACATAGAAAATATTATCACAATATTAATATTGCTAAGGACTGCTCTGACTTTAATATACAGTATGCTGTTATAATGCCACATGCCATGCATTCACTCTCTGCACATCGATAATATATTGGGTGAGATGAATTAATTTTAACTGCCCCAGATGATTAAATCTTATTTAGAGGATAGTGGCTAAGATGAAAAACAAACAGGAGCATTTTGAAAAAGTGAGAAAAATGTCAGGTTTTATCTTTGCAATGCTCAAAAATAACAACCCATTTCCATGTTTTCCTAATCTGTTCCTTCATAACTCTGTGGCCTTTTATTGTGATCGTTGTGGCTTAAAATTATAGATTTTGTAGCACATTGTTCAAAAAATAAATAAATAAAAATTGCAATCAAATTTGCAGGGACTGGCTGACTTTGCATTAATTGATGTTGGGGAAATATCGCAACTTCCTGGAGAGACTTCCTAACATGACGCAGTCCTACTGCATGTAGCATTAAAATGGACTAAACACTGTATGTTGATTTAATATCATGTGGAATTTTAATTTTGTATTTTTTTTTTACTTTAAGTCAGTTTATATGAATAAAGGCTTTAAATTAGCTTTTTTTCCCTCTGAGGAACAAAAACGTTAAAACTTAATAATTTCAATAAGAACTTGTTTTGTCACTGTGTGACTGTACAGCAATGGAGCGGTACATAACCAGTGCTTATACTGTATATGGAATCAGAACTGCTGTATGAGTGTGTGTATGAGAATGAATGAATGAATGAATGAATGAATGAATGAATGAATGAATAAGAAGCACATGGCAAAGGGCTTTGCACAATGCCCGCCATACAAAAAGAAAAAAAAAAAGAAGTGAAGTGTATTTTACGTGTTATTGTCACTCTGCTTGTGATGGAATCCTCTCTATAATCTGCATCAATGACATCTTTATTAGAATTAGTCAATAAGCACTGTCAACATGGCATCTCTTTGTATTCTTCTCCCTTCCTCTCCTGACAGGAAGTTAAACTAATAGAGCTCAAGTCCAGGTTATGACACACAGCGTTGTCACCCCCAATTTGTTGATTACTATTGATTTTCTTTGATGCGTCATTAAAGCCAGAAAAAAAAAATCAATAACTCAGAAGAAAAATAGGCATGGCTCAAACATACTTTAACATACATCTTGTACACTGAAGAAGACTTCAGATTAGGCAGCACCGTGACAGCAATTTGGAGGAAAGCTCTTTACAGGGGAAAGACGAGGACCCATGGATCGATTTGCAGCTTTGCTCCCCAATCACAGAAAGTGGTCATAAATTAAGCTCATCACTGTTGCCTTGTAGACAGCATTGATGCAAATAACATCTGCTTTCTATCTCCTTGTCACTAATAAAAAATATATAAAATAATAAAAAAAAACATCTTGGCACAGTTTTGTTTCTGAAAGTTTAAAGAGAGGATGCTGGGAGATGAGCAGAGCGACGGGTTGATCCAGAATTACGGAGAAAGAGAGTTTTATTACCTGGAGTTCATCCGTGCTCGGAGTTTCTTTGCTTTCTTCCTTGCTTTCTGGCGTTCCTCTCCATCTTTTATACTCTCAGAAGAAACAGAGCTGTCTGTCAGAATATCCACGATATATTTCTTCAAGGAAAGATGCTCCTGAAAAAAAAAAAAAAACATATTAAGGCCACACATATTCATGTGTGTAATATCAATATTGCAAAAGACTGCTTGGATGCAGTGAATAAGTTCCAGCTGTTATATATATTTATCTTCCTGACATTAATATATTTGGCCAATTAGATGGACTCTCATACATGTGGTGAATGTAGTGTTGTGAAGATTATGACATAAGAAAAAAAGTTAGGAAAAGATTATTTAATCCCAACTAATATCACCATAGCAATATTTAATAATATTTAATAACACTTGCATTCCTAATACAGTGCATAAGAGACACAAACTAAGTATGACAAACTGTTTCACGATTAGAAAACAATCTCATTAATTATTCTCTAAATGCTATTGCCTTTCATCTTTTATTTATAAGTACAGCTTAAAAACCACTTTCACTTCAGGAAAAACAAAACAATGTCCTGATAGTTTGAAGTGGCTCATGCTCAAGTACTTGATAATTTGCAGAGTAATCTTTAAAGTCTAGACATTTTACAAAATTATGCACATTTAGCAACGCTAAACTAAGGTCACAAAAGACACAAAGCACTGTAAGTTCAACTTTCTCCACCTGGTTGGATACGACATCAAAACATTTATTAAACTATGTATTCAATAATTACAACTAACTAAAAAGGCAGTGACTATTGTAGTTCTATATATAAATACAAAAAAGGGAATTTTCTTCTTAGTGAGAAGTATGAAATCTGTTTCAAAGCAGTAAAACATAAGAAAACAACACAAATACAGCACAATGCTTGTCAAATGTAAGTAGAAGTAATACACTTAGCATGTGATACTGAATATACTGTCTGACATGTCTTAAACAGCACCACTGGACCCTATAATTGCCTCCGATTGTCTATCCTCTTTTGTATCCACCTGCCCTCCCATAGACATGCAAGCAGCCCGGAGGTGTTGCCTTCTGTCTGGCTCGGTCAGACAATTCTGATGTTTCCACCAAGAGACKGGGGAATGTAACCCAATTTGAGCAGCATGATGCATGTGCAAGAAACCAAATTACCCAATTAACTTGTCATCCAGCACCCCAGAGAATAGGACGGCCCTGAGATAAAGGGGTTTCCATTCAGCAGTGATGCTAACCTGTGTGTGGGATGCCATAGCCTTTGGTCAAGTGTTGTCCCTGCACCTGCTGCCTGAATGGGAGGTTTTTCCACTGAGAGGGATTGTAAAAACCTCAAGTATGCAAAAGCAAATTACGGTAGTGCCAGAGAAAAATGACAGTCTGAATTTGAAAAGTTTTTCCTTTTCCCCCAATTTAATCTACAAGAGTGAACATTTTTTTAAACTGAAAATACCATAAATTATGTATTTTGACAAAACACAATATTCTAATTAAGATTTTTTTCCCAGATGGTTAACAAGCCAGTTTGTGTTAGAAATAACCCGTATATTTTTGTTAACCAAGTCCAAATGAGTCAAGTAAATGAATAGCAAATGTGATTTTTTTCTAGAAATATTAAAGTTAATCAGGCCAATCTGTCCTAAAATTCTAACATAACAAATCCTTTTTGTTATCTTGATACCTTAAAAAAATATTTTTAAAAAGGGTTACAATGAATTACTCATTACAATTCCATTTTACAGAACAAAATGTTTTAGAACATTTTCATGCTTTCAATGTTAAATCACAGATTTAAAGTGGACATGTCATGCTTTAAAATTCTTCTTTTTTACATTTAAATCATTCAGTTGAGGTCTAAAAGTGGAACTGCAATGTACTGGTCTGAATTCCTCCCAAWTGTAACTCCACAAGCCCCTCTTTCACCTCTTTTCTGGAGGTGTGTCTCAGATCAACTCATTTTAAAGCCGTCTCTTAACAAGGCGCCCCCCATCCCCCCTCAATGATATGTCCCTTTAATATGAATGAGACTTTCAGATAATTTATTCAAGTATATTTTAAAGGTAACAAATGAAAAAAAAACCTGCACAAAAGAGATAATGAAAGCTTTTCAAAAAAGGCATGAGTAATTGAATTTTCTTTAAAAGTGTGTGTGCTTTTGTATTCATTATATATGAGCACCTTTGCCCTTTTGTCACTAATATTACAGCGCGTCTTGACTCATGACCGTAGCTGTCCGGTGTTTGCAGACAGCTAATCAGTCATATCTCTGAGAAGCTATCCAGTGCACTACCCACTTACTTAATGGAATTGTTTCAGCGACCCCAGCAAAACAACATACATTGCAAAAATCACAACTGTTAGGTAAAATATATCTGAAAAATACAAAGTACAACACTAAAGCGCTAATTACAATCTCCACTTTTATCATAAAGTTAAGTAAAGGTAATCTGAAAGGAAACAATGTAGACTGTGGGAAATTGAGACACTCAGATTTGGTGACAGACAGCTATCTACCACAAAACCAAAGCAACAAAGCAGCAAAGACACTGACCTAAGGGCACCACCACAGCACAAAGCCACAGATTAGCCCTGATGGTAGAAATGTGATACCATTAAAAACATTTCTTCCTTTCCCTGACACAAGCTGACCTGTCACAGATCTAAAACTCAGCTTAAACCGAAATAAATTCTATGAATCAGACGAGTTCATTCATTTAGGCTTCGGTGTGTGGGCTCCCGCAGCTATGCTTCTTCTTGGTGCCAAGTTATAACACTAATCCAGATCAAGTTGCCAGAAATGTAGTGGTTTACATAAGTTTTATAACGATCAGTAATCTAGTACAAATGAAAGTATCTTCCTAATGTATTAATGGCATTACTGGTTCTATTTTTAATATAGCACAAATACAAAACACATTGAAAAGACAGAATTGATCCAGCATTTTTTCTGAAGATTTCTTTAAAAACTCCTCAACTTTGGCTGCTTTCAAAACAAACCCTTCAGGATCAACTCAGTGCTTCTTAGAGGTCACCCTCTGCTGGCTGTGCTGTCCAAACACCACCCACAGGCAGAACAGAAAAAAACTCTTCAATCAGAAGACTTCATCAGAAATAATTAAATAGGTTTTCTGATTTTTTTTTTTTACAAAGTTCAAATTATATGAAAATGTCCAATCAGTTGACAGATTTGGTAATTTTTTTTTTTACCTGGGCCAAGAATAATTTCCTTCGGTCACACAGCGATACAACAATATGCTTAGTGTTCTCCAACAAGAAAAGCTTTCAGTACCGTTCAAATACTCATATAAATGTGAGAAAAACAATATGGATAAAAGCTTGTCATTATATAAAGAGGTGGCAGCATGTTAGGATATTTTTAAAGTTTTGAATAGATAACAGCCCTAACTCTAGCTTTTATTTTTGCCAAGAGCAAAATAGAAAAGTTACTGCTTTTACCGGAAATATTTCAATTTAAAAACAACAAATATATCCAAATCATTTTGTTATATTGAACCACATATTGAAAAGGGCAATAAAAACTTGATGTCTTCTAATAATTTGCTTGGTCAGTTTAAAATTTGTTTACTAACTAGTGCACAGCTGATCCAGCACTCTTTGTAAAGAAAAGTTACAGTAAGTGGCAACTGTTTCAATTTAAAAAAAGAACGAATAAAATTGATATTAAAACAATAAACAGGGTTAGATAAGCACTTAGTTCACTTAGTTTTGATAAATCTAAATTTCTTCAAAGATATAAAAGCAACACATATGAATATGATGTCATCACAGAGAAGACAGTGTCCAACAAGAAATCAAAAACTGTCTAAAAAAAGCAAATGTTTATATATTGTCAATACCAAAAAAAAGACCAGTGTTTAAAAAAAATATTTAGAAGAAAGCAAGTCATTGAAAATCTTTTGAATGAAGGATCTGTTGGGGCTAAAGGTGCTGCATCTAGCGCCAACAGTTGTTCGTCTCACAATGAGCGTGGCTGAAAGGCCAATCTCATATTGCAGCCTGAGAGGCTACCATGCATTGACAAGCTGCCTTCCCACAGAAAGCCACTCCATGACAAAAAAGGCCCAAGGACAAGAGGGTGATGTCAACGCTCCACTGAAGCGCTGAACCCTAACTGTGTACATTTTAAGGCTCATTTAGAATCGCACAAAGCCAGCGACAGAGCTGTGGCAGTGCATAAAAGGGGTGGATAAACCATCATAATGGACATGCCATAAAAGACAACTGCTGTTTCTCTTTGTCTATTTACATGACACAAGCAGCAGTGGGGCGGGATTCTTCGACAGAATCAGAGGATGTTTGTTCCTGGCAGTGTGTGGTTTTGATACGCACCACTTCCTCGTCGGAGAGCTCCCGTCCCTGGATGCTGCTGCTGTCTCGCACGGCCTGCTGGTGCCTCTTGCCTTTGGTGTGGCTGAACAGGTGCACCTCTGAGGTGATCTGCAAACACAAACACAATGGTCAGAGGTCAGTGCAGTAGACACAATGGAGACAGAGGCAGGAGAGGGTCAGCGGGGCTCTGCGTTACCCTGGTGAAACAATACACCACACGGACGTGCACAATGGGACACAACCTGCCTCTCCTAAACTTCAGTGTGAAGCTCAGGCTGGAGAAGAGGAGCAGAAGCTGTTGGGTGTGTCGCACGTTGATTTCATCCGCGATTGATTCACCTGCCCAGCGTTAAAATGCCTCTAAATGGCCTACAAAATTAATCAACTCCAACTTATTTGACAATTGTCCGCTTGCAAAAAAGGAACGACTTATTTGTCCAAGCCTAAATGTAGTGCAGATCTGACAAAGTGATAGGACAAGAGGCAGGTGTTTAACAGGAACTGTTTTTGATCAATTTCTGGAAACAAGCCCATTCGAGATGGTTTGTGTTTAATGTCATTAAACAAAGTGCTCGCTGCTGACCCATCCGTGATCTCTGGTGTCGGATGTCAGCCAAGGTCATCTAACATTTTAACAAGATTCTCCCCCTTTTTTTTCCTGCCCTCAACCCTCCTCTTTATCTGATGCTGGTGTGAAGTCTCAAGGTGTCCCAGACTTGTTGTCATGGCAGCCAGTTAATCAGAGATAAATGCAAGTGCTTGTGGAATTTACAGCCAGGTGCTTAAAAATAATTTATTTGGACATAAATCTGTTTAACCAACACTGTTAAATCCTCATTTAAATAAGGATTCTTTCAAGAATCTTTTAAATCACCTTTAAATAAGTTTTTTTATGTACATATTCTTCTAAAATTACACAAACCTGAGCTAAACATTCAGATGCTGCCTTTTGCTTTTCACTATGTGCAAAAACATATACATCAACTCAAACTAATTATTTCAACAAAGATAACAGATAGAAATTTAACCTAGGGTTGGATGATATGGCTAAAATGTATATCATGATAGAACTCCCAATTTTGTTTGAAACGATATAATTTCGAAATCGATGAATACTTAAAAATGTCAGAAAAGCTGCCAAGAACACCAATATTAACTGTAACTACAAACCTGATGTCACTTAAGACATCTTTAATTGAAATTATAAGTCAACAAAAAGATCTCACATTTAATTTATGATCAGTTATAATTTAATTGTTGACATCTGAAATATATGTTTCAGGTAGTTAGTAATTTATTGCAGATATCTTGAATTAGAGCCTCCATACAACTTAATGGTAAATCTGACATCATATATACTAGTCAAAATATATTAAAAGATATCTTAATTAAATAATAACAAAATTTTCATTTGTCTGATATCCAAAAAATACATTAATGATATCCTAAATTAGAGCCTCCATACAACTTAATGGTAAATCTGACATCATTTGTACTAGTCAAAATATATTAAAAGATATCTTAATTAAATAATACGTCAAGTACCAATTTCAGATATCCAGAGTGTAAGTCTAGTGAAGCTGATTAAATTGTAAAATGGCCTGCCATACACGTGAACTTCCACGTTACTGAAAAAGATCTGCTGCGCTTCCAGAGCAGAGTTTGATTGTTAAATTAGGAAGATGAACTTATGAGCAAGTGAATGTCCACAACTTCTTTTCATCTCTGCAGTTAACAAGAAAAAGTAAATGAAAATTTCTTCCTCCGACTCTGGTGTGAGAAATACAACTACGACTGTTGTTAGGCGTTGCTCTGCACGTGGAACAGCAGGAGGGAAGGAGAAATTATGAGGATTTATTCCCCCGCCACACAATATTTTAGTTATGAATGAGAAAATATTGAAACATAATGTGGTAATACATTAGAAAAAAAAAACCTGTCAAAATTTATTCCTGTAATTAATATGACCTCTCAAATTTTTGGATGGGGGAGGGGAGTTGTTAGGGGCTGCCCTCCTTGTACAACAGTAATGGAAACACTTTTCAGAGAGAGACAAGTCTTTCAGTGGTTTGTGAATATTTTTGCCAACAGACAAACCCAGACACATGCAGCTACATGATCATGGCAGTGGGTGMTAATAAACATCATATAGGAATGTGGAGCATTGATTAAAACTGTTTTCAACTATTCTGTTATCAAAAGATGAGCCRTCCGTGTTTGTCTTTGTGGGAGTGCGTGGACAATTGTGCTCCAAATTGAAATGGCTCAGTATGACATAATTATGTCAGTGCAGGCTTACGCCGCTGCTCTCACATGGAGATGTTGGGAGCCACTGGGCAGCGTGATTGGAGCTTGGCCGTGTTGAAGTTTAGTTTACTGTGGGCCACACAATTGCTCAAAACACACACACACACACACACACGCTCACACACCTGGAACAGATCTGCAGTAAAGCTGCTAGGAGCCAAGAGAAGAAGCTTATCCCCATTACACATTCTTCCCGAGGGCAGCGCTTGGACAGCTGGCACACACACTGTACAGAAGCACAACTACACACGGAGGCTGTGTACACACACACACACACACACACACACACACACACACACACACACA